ACATCAAACGCGACCGGAATCGAATAATAATCCTTCCACCTATTTGTGTAATCATTCTTCTTCCATTATTCTACCAATTCTATCAATTCTACCAATTCTACCAATTCTATCAATTCCACCAATATAAACATATTTACTCTCGGTACCCTCGCACTCAGTTAAACAAGAGGAGGATCTACAATAGGCAAATGCGGAGAACACTACGGAGAAACCAAGCGGCAACAAGGCCACCATCGTCAAGAACACGGCTCAGCTCTCCAAGATCTCACGTCATATCAATTATCCACTCAGTCAGCTACTCAGCTAGCTACTCAGTCTAATACTCTATAAGAGGAGGAGTAAGAGGAGGAACTACAACAGGTAAATGCGGAGAACACTACGGAGAAACCAAGCGGCAACAAGGCCACCATCGTCAAAAACACGGCTCAGCTCTCCAAGATCCCACGTCATATGCTCTCCACGGTTTCACATCAAATCATCACTCAGCAAGCGGAGAACACCACTGCAACTTAGTCTATCATCCCCACTACATTAAGGAGTAAGAGAAGGAACTACAACAGGCAAATGCGGAGAACACTGCGGAGAAACCAAGCGGCAACAAGGCCACCATCGTCAAGAACACGGCTCAGCTCTCCAAGATCCCACGTCATATCAGTCATCCACTCAGTCAGCCACTCAGCTAGCCACTCAGTCTGATACTCTACAAGAGGAGGAGCAAGAGGGGGAACTACAACAGACAAATGCGGAGAACACTGCGGAGAAATCAAGCGGTAACAAGGCCCTCAGCACCAAGAACACGGCTCAGCTCTCCAAGATCCCACGTTATATACTCTCCACGATTTTATATCAAATCATCACTTAGCAAGCGAAGAACACCATTACAATTTAGTTTATCATCCCCACTACATTAAGGAGTAAGAGGAGAAACTATAACAGGCAAATGCGGAGAACACTACGGAGAACACTATGGAGAATACTACGAAGAAATCAAGCGGCAATAAGGCTACCATCGTCAAGAACACGGCTCAGCTCTCCAAGATCCCACGTCATATACTCTCCACGGTTCTATATCAAATTATCACTCGGCAAGCGTCATCAGCTAGTCACTTAGTGATCTACTTAGTCAGCCACTCAGCTAGCCACTCAGTCTAATACTCTATAAGAGAAGGAGTAAGAGGAGGAACTACAACAGGCAAATACGGAGAATACTACGGAGAACACTACGAAGAAATCAAGCGGCAATAAAGCCACCATCGTCAAGAACACGGCTCGGCTCTCCAAGATCCCACGTCATATACTCTCCACGGTTCTATATCAAATCATCACTCGGCAAGCGTCGTCAGCCAGTCACTTAGTCATTCACTCAGTCAGCCACTCAGCTAGTTACTCAGTCTGATACTCTACAAGAGAAGGAGCAAGAGGAGGAACTACAACAGGCTAATGCGGAGAATACTACGGAGAACACTACGGAGAACACTGCGGAGAAACCAAGCGGCAACAAGGCTATCATCGTCAAGAACACGGCTTAGCTCTCCAAGATCCCACGTCAAATCATCACTCAGCAAGCGGAGAACACCACTGCAACTTAGCCTATTATCCCCACTACATTGATATAATACATCACTATAATAACGTTATAAGAGGAGGCGACGATTACAATCAATTAGGCCTCTGCAGAAGGGACATCGGACGATACATATTTGGACGAATTGAAACCGTCCGATGTCTACAGCTATCTTATTATTCGAAAGATTTCACTGCGGCAGGAGATATTATGGGATTCACACTACTAATTAGCACGTTATCTCCATTTCTTTCCGGTATTTCGATACTTCTTGCTATAAGGATATGGCCTTTCTCTATTCAATCCTCTACACTCAATACACCTTTCTAATTAGGCCTTAACGCGCCTCTCTCCGCATATATATATAGATTAAATTAATTTTATAGTGGTGGAAGTAGGTCAAAAACGCACAGCAAGCGATTAGAGTTCGATTTGACTTAGGGCTAGGGCTAAAATTCGATTTGACTTAGAAAAATCCAACTCCATGAATTTAATTCATGGGCCTTTACTTATATTATATAAATCTCTTAATTTAATAATTATATCGCTAATTCTATTTTATTAATATATATAAAAGAATAAGATAGGGCTAAGCTTAAAAACCTTGAATTTATATGTGCAGCCAATCATCAATTCAGGGTCACTACGCTCTTTGGTTAGACCGGCTGAGTCATCGCGGGTAAATAAATTAGCGTCCGCAACCATCAAAATCTCGCCCTCCCGCGCCTCCCTCATCAAAAAATAGGTGTACGTTATTCACAATAGTAATAACTTTTTTGTTTTCTATTAAAATTTGGAAATTTTTTATTTTAAATTTTGAACCGCTATTTGCGCTTTCGGAATTTTTAAGAATTTTGAAAATTTGTCCTATGATTATTAAAGCGCAAGGAATTCAAATATCGCTCACCAAAGTTCGCTCACCAAAGATCGCTCACCTATTTACTCGATAGCCCTGATTAAAAAAATGATTATGAATTTAATTCATAGGCCTTTACTCGTATATTAATAATAAATTTTATTATAAAGCTATCGAAAATTAATAACTACGATATCTTACTTACTATAATAAATAAGTTTATTAAAAAGATTATTCTTATATAAAAAAAAAAATTAAAATATTATCGATTAAATAAATATCGTTATCATAGTATTTTATAAATATAATTAAGAAATTCCACGATTCTTTATTAGTAATAGAGATTTTAAATTTATATTATTATTCTAAAAGATTATCTTTAAATAATTTAATATAAATTTTCTTATATCTATTACTTATTATTCTTAGATAAATAGATAATTCGAGTATACGAATTAAATTATAGTTTTTCGCTATTATATAGTAAAGAATATTAATTAATATTAAGTATTATTATTTATTAATATAATTCTTAATAACTTAATTAATTTTACTATCGAGTTCGCGTTTAATAAAATAATTTATAAATTTTATATTAACAATAACGTTAATCTTCTTAAAAATTTATCTTTATAAGACTTTAAGAAATTATAACTAATTAAGTATAAAGTCGCTAATAAAGTTATAGCTTTCGCTAATACTATAATTAAAGCTCGCTATAATAATAAGTATATATCTCTTAATTTCGAGAAAGATAATAATATTTATCTTTATCTATATTATAATTATAAGATTCTAAAAAAAAGAAATCGAAAACTTTATTAATAGTATATTAATCTTTTTTAAATAATTCGTAAAATTAATAATCTTATCTATAAACTTATCTTATTATCTATTATAAAAATTTATTAATTATCTTAATTACTTAACTAGAATTTATATCTAATAGCGAGAATTTATATTAATATTCTTAATTTATAAATCTATCTTCTATTATCGATAAGAATAAATTATCGAGTTTCTACGAGATTAAAAAGATTTTTAAGAAGTAAATAGTCGATAATAAGCTATAGTATCTTCTTAAGTAACTTAATTATAACTTATAAAATAATATCTAATATAAACTTAAGAATCTAGATTTTACTATAAATCTTATTAAAGATTATAAAAGAATATATATGAAATTAATATTCTTATAAGGAAAATATCGTAATATAATAGTTACGAAAATATTAAAAGTACTTATAATAAAGTAACTACTTTCTTAGCGATTAGTAAGAATAATATCTTAAGTCGTTATTTTATTAAAAGCGCCGAAAAATCTACGTAAATCTAGTTCACCTTTAATGAAAAAACCACTTTTCTAGTAATCGCTTTCTCAGCCATCAGCACCTTTAATGAAAAAACCACTTTTCTAATAATCGCTTTCCCAGCTATTAGTAAGAATAGAATATTCTTAAATCGTTATTTCGCTATCTATTCAGGATTCGAATTCTAAAGAATTAATCGGATCTTATTCTAGTACGGTCGCCGGAAAACCTCGTTAGCTCGCGATTATGTTGTCGGCGGAACTAAGAAGAAGTAGAAGAATCGCCGGATTATGATACGATATGGGTTTCTCGGAAAATCGTTCTTTGCTTATCGGAAATTCCTTCTTTGCTGCAGCGAGGGCGCTGCCTTTCTTTTCTTTCCCGGCATCTGATATGGAATCCAGCCTTGTAAGGCTTGGCATGCGAGTATATTAGCAAGTAGATTTCATTAGCTAGAGAATCAATTAATCCACCTATATATACAGCTTTATAGTATACTTTCATATCAATCGTCGTTATTATTATTTAATACTCTCTCTATCTTCTATAACTATTCTATTAAGCGAAAGATCTTTATTAGTTTTAATAAGTAGAAAGAATCGTAAAAGAATATTAAATATAGTAAACTCATATCTATAATAATCTTAAAGATCGCGTTAATAATATTAAAGTTACTTATAAATACTTCGAATATAATAAATTAGAAGAACGATATAAGAAAGCGTATTTTTATTTAGTAGATAATAAGATTACGTAGACTAGATTATATAAATAATACTATTAATAAAGTTCTCTTTTCTATAAAAATCCCTTAGCTTCGACGACGGCGAGTCTTCTTTTTACTCCTATATATCTCGAGAGAACGAAGAGTCTTTATTTTATGAATAGTCTTATCGGTAATAGTAAGATCTAGTAACGATGTAATAGTAATAGCGAGGTTACTACGAGGCCGCGCTTTATTTTAATATAACTACTATATAAATCTAGCGCGGCCTTGTAATCGCGTTACTGGTATTTTTCTTAGCATAGGCTAAGGTTTAAAAGCATCCCCGAAGGCTGAATAAGAATCGTCTGTAAGTTTTTTAAAGGGGACCAGGTTTGGTGCATCATGTATCGTATAGAACCCAGCCAACTACTGATTTCTACGGCAGGCAATCGCTTCAAAGAGCCTAGAGTTCGAAGATATCATCGCTCGACATTGCTATTCGTGGAAGAAGTTTGAGAACAAAAATAGCATCTCATCATCGTAAGAGCCTCACTGTGAGGGACTATGAAGGAGCCCGAATACAAGGTGCGGCCTTCTTCACGTGCAGACCCAAAGGATGTTTTCCGAATTTTTCTGTCGCCCGCACAACTTCTACTACATAAACTTCATGCTGGCGATGTTTGCCACATAGTAACTCTTCATCAACTGTCAACTCGACCGGCTGTTGTCTGGCCCGCGACCGAAAAAATCAAGGACGACGTGGTGCAAACTTCGAAGGCTCTTCAGATTCTCTACGGCTTAAAGCTTGACAGTCGAATTTCCATTCGCCGTGGCGACGTAGCGATTACAGATGCAGATGAGATTACTCTATGCGAGATTCCGCAAAATGAATCACAATCAGCTCCCCCGAACCCTGACGAGGATGAACGTTCTCATTGGGCGTGGCGACTTAAGCATTACTTGTGCAAGGCAGAGATACTAGCTCCAGGTATGACCTTTGACCGCGTGGAAGCCAACGATGAAAGAAGATCATACCGGATACAAAGCATCAACTCGTCTGCTGACCAGATGCTCTATCGTGCACGACCGAGCTGCACAGTCTGTCTGAAAGATGGCCATTCCAAGAGAGCCAACAGCTTTGAGTGGGGCAAGAGCTTGCTTGTTGTTCCTAGCGAAGGAATTGGCGGCTTAGACAAGCAAATCGAGCTTTTGAATGACGAAGTTAGTGTGTACAGCCACCCTCCCGAAAAATACGCAAAAATGCCTCTTTTCTTTCGAACATGTCAAGGTGGCATTCTTCTTCATGGCGCTCCTGGTACCGGTAAAAGTATGGTTCTCCGCAAGATTTGCGAGGCCGGTTGGCGGAGGGCATTCCACATTGACATTACAGACGGCAGTCAGCAGCTTGGTGAAAACGAAACAGCCATTCCCCAAATTTTCTCTAATGCCCTGGGTTGTCAGCCTAGTGTTATCATTATTGACCACCTGGAATCTATCGCTGGTAAACAAAATCCAACGGATCTTGCACGATCCGTGAACATAGGGCAGATTCTGTCTCGGCAGCTTGACCGACTCGATGAGACGCAGACACTTGCTGTTGGAGCCACCCGCAGTCTCACAGAGATCAATCAAGATCTGAGACGAGTAGGGCGACTCGACTTGGAGATCGAGATACCAATCCCTGACTCAAAATCGCGTGCGGAAATACTGAAGGTCCTGTGTAAGTTACCGAAAGACAAAGCTGATTCGACCTTGGAAAGGATAGCTGCACGTACACACGGATTTGTTGGAGCAGACCTTAAAAAGTTGCTACGCCAAGCAATGAAGACAACACGAGCTCAAGATAGAGCATCTGAGTCGAGAATTGGAGACTTTGATTGTCGTCCAACCGAGCCACAAGCTTTGCTTGAAAGTATGGAGGACGCGTTCACCAGCGCCTTAGCAAACATTCGGCCTACAGTGATGCAAGAAATATTCTTGGAGATCCCGGAAACCAAATGGAGTGATATTGGGGGGCAACACGAGGTGAAGAAGCGTATTCAACAGGCATTGGTGTGGCCGGTCAAGGTAGAATTTATATTGCACCATCGCATCCTCTCAGCAACAATTGCTGATGTTTTCCATAGTACCCCGATGAAATGAAGCAGTCCGGACTCAAAGCAAAGAAAGGTCTCCTCTTATATGGCCCTCCTGGGTGTTCTAAAACCATGACCGCCAGGGCGACTGCTACAGAGTCAGGGCTGAACTTCATTGCAGTTAGAGGCGCCGAACTGTTGAGCATGTACGTTGGAGAGACTGAGCGTGCAGTGCGCGAAGTCTTCGGCAAAGCTCGTGCTGCCAGTCCTAGCATCATCTTCTTTGACGAGATCGACGCCGTAGGAGCTGCGAGGGACAAGAGCCAACAAGGAGGCATTCACACTGTTACTACGCTGTTGAACGAGCTGGATGGCGTTGAGGAGCTCAAGGGCGTATTCGTCCTTGCAGCTACCAACAAACCAGAACTACTCGATCCAGCTCTCATCCGTGCTGGTAGGCTTTCGGAGACCCTGTACGTTGGACTACCAGACTTGGAGGCCAGGCGAGCCATTCTACAGATGCAGACTCCCGTGTCTCTCTCAGACGATGTCGACGTAATGGCGTTGTCAGAAATGACCGAGGGCTTTACTGGGGCGGAAATAGTGAAAATCTGCGAGCAGGCTAGCTACATGGCTTTTGAGGAGCAGATACAATCGAAAGAAAAACGGCGAGTCAGTCAGAAGCAATTGAGTACTGCTTTGGCTACAGTAAAGCGATCCGTCACTCCGGAAATGGTGAGGAAGTACGAGGCATGGGGAGCAGGGAGGTGACACCATTTGGACAAGAATCCGGAAAAGGTCGCCCAACGATTTCATGTGGACGTATTCTGGTTCAGGTCCCAGGCTTGAAGCCCATGTCCAAATCCACCCTGGATTAATGGTGAGCCTGTTCTGCATTGCGATTTCACGATTCTCCCACACATGCTTAACTCTATGTATTTTTGGTTGATACCTATATTAGCGCGATCATGTAATTTACGAGTAGTCAGCATCCGTTACAAAACCGTATGAGTAAGTTTTTTGAAGGAATCATGCATATTCATGTCAGTTTATGCTACGAGGCCCGAGAATCCTGCCAGCTCTGCCCAACATGCCTTCCGTGTCTCCTGAAAGAGGCAGAACGCGATCACGTCACCAAACTTCTGCGCTCGCCAAATCCCAAACTCCTTCCAGAACGAGGTCTGCACCTCGCCGCACCATCTCGCCTCGCTCTAGATCAAGGTTAAGAACGCCAAGCCGAACATCATCAGCTCAAGGCGATAGACGGAATGGAGTTAGAAATGGGAAGGAACGCAGCAGAAGTCCAACAAGGAGTGCGTCGAGGAGTAGGAGCGAAGGCCGAGCTGGACGACGATATAGAGACCCCAGTTACACGCGATCTCCAAGCCATGGCTCCCTACTACCCAAAAGCTCAAAGGTACCTTAGGCGATCGCAAACTCGTCTACGGCATACCCTAAAACTTACGTTGCATAGATTGTGGTGGAGAAGCTTACGAAAAACGTCAATGAAGGCCATCTACGAGAGATATTTGGTGCATATGGCTCTATCCGCGAGCTTGACCTACCCATGAACAGGCAGTGTATAGTACCCCGTGCTTTCTTTTGAAACCTGAAGCTGAGAGACTTAGTCATGGCCAATCGTGGCACCGCTTACATTGTATACACTGACACCCCACATGCTGAAGCTGCAATTGCTCATATGCATGAAGCCCAGCTAGACGGTGCAATCATCAATGTCTCGATCGTCCTTCCTCGCCGTAAATTCTCACGGTCGCCGCCTCCACCTCGTAGAGGTGCTCCTCCTTATGATCGCTTCGAGGCACGCGCACCTCCGCCTGGCAGATATCGTGGAGGACCCCCCCCGCTTAACTATGGACCCCCTGGCGGTGGAAGATATCGGTCTCCGCAACCCCCAAGAAGAGGCTCACCACAAAGGAGGTATGGAGGCCGTCCAGTCCCGAGAGATCGCGATTCAGACACATACCGGCCGCGCTCATTCTCTCGTTCCAGATCACCGAGAACACGCTCACGGTCCTATTCTTCCAGATCGAGGACCCGGTCTCCCCCACGTAGAAGCCGAAACTACGGACGTCGAGACAGCCCACCGCCACCGAGGGGAGGCAGGAGAAGAAGGAGTCCTAGCTACTCCAGCTTTTCCAGCTACAGCGATCGGAGCCGTAGCAGGAGTCGAGGTCGATATGGACGCGGGAGGGGATAGTGTGCCGGCTTGGGATCCGCTGTTTAGATCAAGCATGGTGGATATCGGAACATTACCTTGCATTAGAGACGTCATTCTAGGTGCATGACAAGGAATGCCCGAGGTCCAGATCTTAAATCATAGAGAATATGTAGCACGAAGCTCCACCGTGTAAGGATAAAGAATTCTGCACGTCGAAGTCGTGGATGTGGAGGGAAGATGTATTTTAAGTGTGCCATAGACCTATCTAAGAGCTCATGCATCTATATTGAGGATACCGGACTTTCTGTTGGGAGATAATAGACCAAGGTAAGACTTCCTGGGACCTGGCATATGAAGAGAAGGGGGAAAAAGCAAGCTGTTAGAAGTGGCAGTCCTACGAGCTCCCAAATTCCAACTTTGCACCCTCTTGTGGGTACAATGTAGAAGGGATTGACTATTTATGCTGAAGATCACAGAACAAGGAATACTGACTGGGAAATCCACCTAGATTGACATTTTTTCTAAGTCTCGTCCTGCTAAACTGTCAATGTTTTTCTCGCAGCATGCCTGAGCGCGGGATCGATTTCTCGAATGCCTTGCTGGCTGACTCTACTCTATGGCGAAGCGTATACTTTACACACTTCGCAATAGATCATTATATAGAAACAGATATTTCTGGCTATTGAAATCTAACAATGGAGGCATTCATTGATTATTCTCTAAAATCTTAATGCCGTCTGCGTATACGTATGATGCTCGTAGGTTAGTAGGTCATGTATGCTTTTTAGAGTAGGAGCAGGATTTGTGAGTAGCGTGTAATGACCGGGAACATCTTTCATTCAACCATAATCGTAGGTGATATTGTGAAATCCGATGCAACATGTTCTGGGGAATATCTGACGTTGAAGAAACCAATCCAGGCCCAAACCTTCACGCCGTTCAACGAGGTCTGCACAAGATATCAAACGCTAGCGTCATAGAAAACGTGCCACTGACCATCAGCGCTAGCTCTTCCACTTCAGCAGCATTTCCCACCCATCGAGCCTATGCTGTTATTCTGATCCGACACATTAACGCCCTGTGCAGGCGCCTGATCATTTTTCGAAGTATCGATAATCCTCTTCTTGATGTCCGCGGCGAGGCTGTAGAAAGCCTTCTCCACGTTGATGTTGCTCTTTGCTGAAACCTCCATGAACGGTATGCCCAGCTCATCTGCTAATTGCTGCCCTCTTTCTACTGACACCACCCTCTTCTCTTCCCAATCACACTTGTTCCCAATCAAGATCTTGTTAACGCCCTCAGTCGCGTGTTGCTCGACATTAGAGAACCAGGTCCGAATGTCTGACATATGTCAGCTTGCTTTCCAGAAAATGGATACATAAATCCTACTATTGAATGACCGCTCATCCGTGACATCATATACCAGCAATATGCCCATTGCACCTCTATAGTATGCCGTGGTGATGGTCCTGAACCTTTCTTGCCCCGCAGTGTCCCATATCTGTAGCTTCACCCTTTTGCCGTCCAACTCAATTGTTCGAATCTTGAAGTCGATTCCTATGGTAGTGATGAAGGATGGTGTGAAGGAATCTTCGCTGAACCGAAGGAGACAGCATGATTTTCCAACGCCTGAGTCGCCAATGAGGAGAAGTTTGATCTGAAGGCTGTCAGTGCCGTGCTTCGTACAAGTCTCGAATGAAGGATCGGCGCCAGTTACGACTTACAAGGAAGTCGTAATTCCGAGTACCGGCCATGCTTTTGCCGGCGAAGGGTGCTGGAGAATATGTATGCTTGAGGAAGCTCTACCTCAAACGAAGATAGCAGTAGTACAGCGCTGGTAGACCGAGGCCTCTGTGTCGTGGCGTACAGGATCGTTGTTCCTTTTGAAGGATTTGTCGCACTCAGTATGACGACAAGCAACCTGACGGCGTTCGATATGAGTTGTAAATCGATAGATATTCACCACAATGAGCTACGTAGTTAGTACTAGCGTTTCATGCTAATTGTAATTTATCGCCAAGTTCGTACTCGTACAGCTTCAATGCGTCAAGCCATTTACCACCCAACGCAAGAACTACAGAACCGCTCAAAACGACTGAGGGCCTCAATGTCAATCGAGTTGACACAACTCTTTTCAGAGATCCAAAATTGCAAGCTCTTCCACCAAATCATTCGGTAGGGACCTGTCAATGGTCAATTGTTCTTTGAAAATCAACCTCGAGCCTGGAAACAAAATATCTACATCTGATCTTCAATATTGTCGTCCCATCCCATCTACATAGCACCGTGTTGCTTGGAAGCAGTCCAGAGCAAATACACCTACCAAACGCCGAGCCAGGGTTATGCTGTTGATCAACGCTCATGCACCGTAATCTCATTACTAGAGCCATTTCGAATATGCCCACCGAATTCTTTCAACAACCCGCGTCTGACGTTCAATCCCAGTCCGAAGATCAACAAGGTCGTTGACTTCCTCAAGGAACTCGTTGTAGATCTCGCCAGGAAGGACACGCTGGGCCTTTTGTCGGAGTAAATGAACTTCACACAATAGCATGCCGTGGTCTTTGTAAGATAACATTCCACTTTCCGACGGTGTCGAGCCACTCAGGATCCGATCAACATTCCTACAGTAGAATTTAACATGATGCAGAATAGTGTACATTTCAGCACTGACCTCAGAATTCGAATCATGCTGCCCTTTTTTCTGCCCTGTACTTTACCTTTTCGTCCGGCAAATACATCTCCAAGCCAGCGAGACACAGAGAGAGAAACCAGCATTCCTGGAGCCAACCCTACAAATCTTTTATCCTCGTTAGCATTGCCAAATGGTGAATCTACCTACGATGGGAAGTATTTACCCGAACACTAATTCTTGGCTCTTGAGGAGGGCATCGATGCCACTAACAGCAAGCTCGACATCGACCTTAGTCTTCTGAACTTGAATGAGAAGTGCGCGAATGAGATCTCCTCTAATTGTTCCCAGGAAGGGCTTCCGAAGGTCTTTCTATTGACGATTCCGAAGTCAGCATACCTTGTTCACGACAATAGAGTTGACTCAGAAAACAAGCCTGGGAAGCAGGAAAGCGGAGAGAAACCCTTTTTCAGCTCCCCAGATCTGTCTCACCGCGCAGACCGAGGTCCTTATAGAAAAGAATCATCCCCAAAATTACATACCTCATATGCTCTCAGCACTGGCGTCAAATCCCCTTCCCTGACTTTAGCTCTAACAACGGAAATGTCTGAATCGGTGAGAGGGAGACCGGTGGAAGTGTTGGGATTGTCGCGTGCAAAATCAATAACCATGCGTTCCAAGCTGTCCCTATCACCTTTCAGACTTTCCCTGCTCATTATGGCTATCTCACTTTCCTTGTCATGTCGTATTGTCCTCATAACCTTCTTCGTAGGCTCTACAACCCAATTGTTCCAGAAATCTATAGACGTCGTTCCGAAATCGCGAATCCAAGTCACGATATCTGCCTTCCGGTTGACCAGTATGCGGAGCACGGTACCGGACGAGAGAAAGAGAGCCAACCCTGGCAGCCAATAGCGAACTAGGCGAGAAGGCTTTCCATACTCTGTGGCCAACGCTTTAGAAGTGGTGGTGTGAGTGGGCATATGGAGCCATAATATTTCCTGAAGACGGCTAGCAAGCCGTACAACTCGCGGGGCACACTGCGTTTCCATGCTGTCGTGCTGTGGAGGCTGGGAATCGTCGTCCACGCTCATGAACACAGTCTCCTCAAACTCGCCGGCTCCAAGTTCAAGAATATGGATGTTTTGTAAAACGATCTCCATCAATGAGACACTTTTTGAGACAACACTTCGCCATTCTTCTTTGCTATCTGATGGATCCTTGAAGCTGACAGGTGCTTCTTCGTCCGCGTCGAAGATCATACCCTCGTCCATGAGGATTCCTAGCCCACTTGCGCTCATTTCACGTAGCCTTTTGAGGTGGCTTCTCTTCGATCTTGCCTCTAGGCGGCTCATGGTCAGGGGCGACAAGAACTTTGACTGCATATCATCCAGAGAACGATCGCGCACACTGTCCTTTATCAAGCTATAGAATTGCCTCCAGCGGTCGAATACCGACAGCACTCTCGCTTCTTCTTCACCTTCACCAGCACTTCGAACATTCTGTAGGCGCTGCCAAGCGTCGCCGTATATGTCGTTGGCCCAGTACCAAAGACGTATCGGCGACGTCTGAACGGTGTACAACCCAGTATATCTGTAGGAACCTAGAACTTGATCCCAGTATCCTATGTCGTTGCTCAGGGGTGTTGTCTGGTCCAGCAACGCATTCAAGATTATCCCGTAGGTCTGCGTAGTAGCCTTGCTGACCAAAAGCCACTCCAGCTCCTGCATTTGTGAGGAATTGACTCTGGCCTCCTCACTGCTGGGGACAGATGCTTCGAGTATCTGGTTCAAGATGACCCATATTGTATCAGGGTGAAGCAGTGCTCTGGACGAAGAGGCGGCGGAGAGTGTCTTAATTGCAGCTTGTATCTTCAGAATCCGAGGCAGCTCAAAGTCACGTTCGCCAGTTCCACTGACATCCGCGGCTTCATGAGTCTCATCAGAGGCGGAACGAAGCTCGGGCGAGGAAGGGATGGAGGGCTGTCTCGGAAGCTGCAGCGCATCAAGCTGGCCATCGACTTTGCTGACGTGACTGTGATTCGGCTTAGCATGTAAACAATGAGTCAGGCAAGCTGTCACCATAAAAGGCAATCGCTATGGTCCAAAATTGCAAGACATTAAAGACCAAGATCAAGGGCGAGAAACTCTAGGTCCATTACATAGACGGTTGTGTTTGACTTACTCTGTCACGAAAGACATATTGGAGAGCTTGCACCATTTGCCGTCAAGAGCAATTATACGTCACATTACACTACCTCTAGAAGAAACCCCTTTGTTGCCCTTCCACAACATCGGTAAACAACCTACTGAACACGGGCAGCTACGCTCTCCACATCGTCCGAGCAATTATTTAGGGCATCCGCCAGGTTCTTGGCATTCTCGGCAATTCATAATGCAATTTTTCCGATCAGTGAATTCAGTGGCGCCACTGGCGCTATTCTGTTCCCGACTGTTCCTGAAACTCTTTTCATTTTTATTTATTGTTCGAGTGCATTTGTCCTCACTGCTCTACCGAATTTTCCATCTCGTCATCCTCGACACGGCCTACTATTTGGCAAGCCTCCTCGCCATGTGAGTCCCAGCTTCTTTCAAAGTCTCACGCGCCCATCTGACAGCTCCTAACAGGAATTCAACATCATCGCTCTTTTCCTCACCCGCGGAGACTTACTGGGGACAATTCGATGAAATTACCAAGTACAATGTCCATCTTAACGTTTGGGAACGCTTGTGGGCAGCGTGGTATGCCTATCTACAGAATGATGTCCTCGCTACTGGTATCATGTCGTTCGTGATGCACGAGATCATCTATTTTGGCCGCTCAATTCCATGGGCAATCATAGACCGCATTTCATACTTCAACAAATACAAGATTCAAAATGTATGGAACGTTGTTTCGCATATCCAGCCCCAAGGTATTGACGACTGACTACATGGCTAGCAAAAAATTCCAACAGCACAAGAACAATGGAGTTGCGCTAAACTGGTTCTGCTTTCTCATTTCACTGTTGAGCTACCTCAAATATGGTACGCTCTGTCAACCCGATTGCCCCACGTGTGGAAACTTATTGATCTTCCTAGGCTCTTCCACCCAATGGCTCAGTATGTCGGGCTTGCTACCGGCGTACCCTTCCCCTCTCTCCTCACAATGCTGTATGGTCCCTCTCACAAAGTGCCCACATCGTGACTCGGGATTATTGAACACTGATCGAGACGCAGGTACCAAATCGCTGTGTTCTTTGTGTTGGAGGACACCTGGCATTACTGGTCGCATCGTGCGCTCCATTGGGGCCCGCTCTACAAGAACATCCATAAGATCCACCATCAATACTCGGCTCCTTTTGGCTTGGCAGCAGAATACGCTTCGCCCATCGAGGTTATGATCTTGGGTCTCGGCACTGTGGGCGCTCCGTTATTGTGGTGTGCCATAACCGGCGAACTTCATATCTTGACAATGTACATCTGGATTGTGTGCCGACTGTTCCAAGCCATCGATGCGCACAGCGGATACGAATTCCCATGGAGCTTACATCACTTCCTACCATTCTGGGCTGGCGCAGAGCATCACGATGTTCATCACGAGAAATTTATCGGCAATTATTCGAGCAGCTTTAGATGGTGGGATTACATATTGGACACAGAGTCTGGGCCAGAGGCGGCCAAAAAGAGGAGAGAACGCCGGCTGGCGAAAGAAGGGAAAAAAATACAATGAGCGGAAGACGAGCCGAAACATTCACAAAACGTCCACAAAGGTTGACGCTGCGAGGCCGACTATGGGGATCTGACCTCTTCGTCTGTCGATTTAAGGGTACTACATCCTACACTTCCGGATCGTATCCTTTTGAGAGTGTTGAAGGTGTTCGGGCGTTTGGCGCTTTTGATGCCTGGCGTTTGGTACCCAAACATCTCGAGCGCTGTCCTGTGCAACGTCCCATGCTTTTTCTGTGTGAACAAGCCGACTAAATAAGGAAGCTTAGTTAGACCTTTACCTCACGGAATCGAAAGGTTTGGTAGATGCCGGCTCAGAATCCTGCAGTTCAGCATGAGCATAAGCCTGCTCGTCGCACCAAGCTGCCATGTCTACGTCCTTGATAGTAAGACCTTGGGGCTTATGTGTAGTCCACTGAATAAGCGTGTGGTTGTATGACTATTGGGTGAATAGATGAACATAGACTACCAGGCGCAGAATCTGCTTTACATTCCACCACTCAGGATGATGCCTTTTTGATTTGCATCGGTCTGAAACGGCTTGCATGAACGCCTGTACTCATGGTCAGCTCGGCCATCCGAAAAGCCGGTGATCCTGTCGATGTGAACGGACCCAAGTTTCGTTGAAAGTTTTGAAATAGAAAGATCGCCAATTACCTTGGCCATCTGAACATAAGTCCCAAGGGTGAGGCTGGGAGCCACCGTGGCCGAAAAGCAGAGGATTCAGCTTGGAGAGAACCTTGGCGGCATCTTGTCCTGGAGCTATCCGGACTTCACTCTCCCAAGTACCATCAGGGGGATTTGCATCGAATATCGGCTGATCCTAGTCTCAGCTTGGCCCCACCGGCCTTGAGGTGGGTCTGAGTAGGAAATCTTGCCAAGACTTATTTTTTTGGTGTATTGCCCGATATGTAATATTCACACCCTGCGTATATATGATTCTTAACAAAAATGCGCAACTACGTAATATGGCCTTTTTTGAAATTCTTGAAAAAAGTCGAATAAATAGTTAAATAAATTTTTATTAAATTAGAAGCTATAGTATAGTAATTAAGAAGTAAACTTTTAATTTTATTTTATTAAAAAACTTAGCTAACTTAATTATAGTTGTCAGGACCAGCATAGGTGCGATACCAGTATGGGTGAGGTAGAACTAGGATAATAAGGCTACCGAACTATGTATGTGGGAAGGAGGCATGATATGGTAGGGGATGCCTCCGCCAAGGCCCGCTAGCCATAGGGCTGAGTGGTGTGTCAAGGGTACGCTCGTAACACTACCCCCCCTCTCAAATAGCCATGGCCCCCATGGCTGGTAGACCGGAGATGCACGCCCATTGCTTGCCCTGTGTCTCCAAACATCCATAGTCCGTGTAGGCCTCAACCGGAGACGATTTGCCGAGGTGTAGTGGTAGACATCGGATGGTCTTGACTGTGCCATGCCTGCCACTGAGATCCTGGAGATGTAGCCATATCTTGCCTGCGTGCCAGCAAGATTCTCCGAGTTCTTCTCCAGTCTCTTGCCCAGTCTTCTTGCCATAATCCTTCGGTAGAATTGAAGAAAATCCAACGCATGCATTCACCTCCAACACCTTTTGGCAGCCTGGCCTGGGAGCTTCACTGTAGATTTGCCCTGTGTCTCCCATGCTCTTGCCATCAAGTACATCCATTCCATCCTTGTCGATTCGTAGGTGTGGTAGGTGATAAGAATCGAATGTGTTGAATGCCATTTGGTAGCAGGCTCACTATGTAAATGCCGCATATGCCCTTGTAGCAGGCTCACTATGTGTGTTGTCGACATGCTCAGTGAAGAGGTCGAATCGTAGTCGTTTTGCCGGGTCTGTTCCCGTCGCCTTGTAGCAGGCTCACTGTGGGGTGTTTTGATGAGTTCTTTTCGATTCGCTAATCCTACGAATGGTCCAGCGGTGCTTTATCCCTCCTGCTGTCCAGAGGCCGTTCCGTCATGCCGAAACGAATTACCCGTTTGGTGGGCTGACCCAAGGATACGATGCCTCAAGTTCCTGTCTTGACCTCAACCGGTCGTGGTGTCTTGGTCTCAAGTTAGTATCTTGACAAAGCCCTTGCCAGCGCGTTTGTTTATTAACCATTCGTCCGCTAATCCGAATGGGCGTGAGTGTGCGTTGATTGGCCCGTATGTGTTTCTCTTCGCCGGGTGTACGAAGGAGCCTTATTATAATGTCAGGACCAGCATAGGTACGATACCAGTATGGGTGAGGTAGAACTAGGATAATAAGGCTACCGAACTATGTATGTGGGAAGGAGGCATGATATGGTAGGGGATGCCTCCGCCAAGGCCCGCTAGCCATAGGGCTGAGGGCTGAGTGTCAAGGGTACGCTCGTAACAATAGTAGCGATATTAGTATTTAAGAATATTATATATCTTAATAGATTTATAGCTATAATAGCTCGATTAATTAAAATAATTAAGATATCTTTATAGCTATAATAGCTTAATTAGATAAAATAATTAAGATCTCTTTATAGCTACGATAGTTTAAATAGATAAAATAATTAAAATCTCTTTATAATTATAATAATCTAAATAGATAATATAATTAAGATCTCTTTATAACTACGATAGCTTAAATAAATAATATAATTAAGATTTCTTTATAACTATAATAATTTAAATAAATAATATAATTAAGATTTCTTTATAACTATAATAATTTAAATAATTAAAATAGCTAAGATATCTCTATAACTGCGAGAAATTAAATATATAACTTTTTCTCTTTACTCTAAAACTAGTTCGCTAAATATTTTAAAACTTCGTATTTGTTAAAAGAAAGAATATTTATATAAGATATAAAGAGATTAATATATATAATTTAAAGATATCTCGCTATCGTTATTAGAGAGAAAATCGCGTATCTAAGCGTCTCTTATAGTCTTCTTATACGCTTAAATTCATTTTAAACGCGTTAAGCGCGTTAAAATTATTTAAAATATATATTTTATACTTCCTTTAATTTTTAAATAATATATCTTCGAGTTAATAGATATATATATAGAAGAAATAACTTCGATACTCGATTTTTATTAAATATTAATATAATTAAACTTATAATTTAATTATTATATTCGACTTATTATATAATCTTTTAATAATATTAATATATATAATAGAATAAAATAGAACTAAGCTTAAAAATCTTAAATTTATATATATAGTTAATTATAAATTCGAGTTCGCTACGCTCTTTAATTAGATCGACTAAATTAGCCCGATAATCCTTTCGAGCTCTCTTATTAAAAATTTATATATAGAAGTTTTATACTTTAAAGTACTCAGCTTGCGATATATATAGTTACTTTATAATTTCTTAAATTATAGAGCTCGCTTTACGCTTTCTAACGCTATAAAAATTATAAAGTTTAATTTACTATTAGTAAATTAAATAGATATTTAAATATAATAGTTATAATAATTATATTAAACGCGTTTAAGATCGAATAATAATTCTTTTATCTATTTATTATTCTTTTATTATTTTATTAATTCTATTAATTCTATTAATTCTATTAATTCTATTAATTTTATTAATTTTACTAATATAAATATAATCGTCTTCGGTATCCCTTATCTAATTAGAGCCTCTTATTAACGCCTCTAGATTATCTCTTAATAAATTCGCTATTATTAATAATCGAGGCCGTAAGCGAGCTTAATAGCTATCTATTACTACTTATAAACGCGTTAAAAAACTCTTAAAAAGAGCTCGAATAAATATATTCTTCTATATATACTTCTTCTAAGCTAGCGATAGATAGATTAAATTAATATTTAAATATTATAATTATATTAAACGCGTTTAATTTAAGTATATATATTTCTTTTATCTATCTCTTAAAACCTCTATTAACGCTTTTAAATTATTTCTTAGCGAATTTATTACTACTAATAATCGAGTGTTATAAATTAAGTCATAATGTAAAAAGAAGATATATTCTTGCTATCTAGAAATCTGCTTTAGTAGAGAATACTCGGAGACGCTAATACATATTTGGCCTAGGCTCTCCAAGCCTCTCAGACCTAGCAGGAACGGCTCTGCCAGAGACTTCTGTAGAAGGCTTCCGCAATGCCATATCAGAAACTACAAAAACTGGGTAGCTATACGGCGTAGGTTGCATAGACCACGTCATTTTCCCCTGGTCGTGTAGCTTGTCAAACGTAGCATCGATGACTTCCTTATCCTTTTGTCCCACCGGGTACACCTTAGCAGGTTTGAATGTTGCATCAGGCTTCAAGGGAATAGGCATCCATTCCTCCTCTGGTATATCCACCGTTTGGCCTTGGTCGATGAAAAGATCCTGATGCTCATTGAGCAAACGTGCTAATCGTATGGGAACACGCTACACTTAGTATGGGCCACCCCAACGCTAAGGCCACCCCAATACGGATTTTTTCAACTTTTTTACCTACTTACCCACATATATATATATTATAAATTATTATTATCTATTTAAGTCTTCTTAACTACTTTAATCTTAATTAATTATTTAGCCCTCGTTATAGCGACTTTAAAGCACTTAATCTTCTTATTCCTAAGTGCATTATATGCCCGAGACTCTTTGATATTTACCCACTCCAAAGCCCTTAAAGTCTTTTTTATCTTAGTTTCCTTACGCGTAGTAATCTTAGACCGGGCCTGATGAGAGTAGATAACACCTCCCTTCTAAACCATCGTATTAAGCTCTACTTTACGAGCTGCTCGAGCTACTACAGTCTATTAAATAGTATTTAATTCTCGCTTAGCGAGATCAGTTAAAATTAGCATCGAAGGAAGCGTATAACCTAAGTTACTAACACACTCGATTGATGTAATATACTCTCTATTATTCATATCCGTTTAATAAAGTAAAAGTTCTCTTTCTTCTATAATAACTCATTGACTCTTGCTTATCTTAATTCGAAATCTAGTCTCGTTAAAGTTATAGATACTTTAAACTCTTAACAAATACTCTAAAAACGTTGAAACTAATTCTAAATAACTTCTAATTTATGCGTATTCTTTCGTTAAGCTATAAGAGACTTTTATTTATATATTTTATACTAAGAATTATACTTTAAAAATCGCGTAAATTAATAATTACCTACGTACTTAATAGGATTAGAGTATTCGCGAAGTATAGAGTTTATAGCTCTTTTAAGTATTAAATAACGATAAGATATTCTTAATCTATCGAGTCGTTATATATATTAATAAAGAGTTTATTCTTTATAATCTATAAGCGCGTAAGAGTAGCTATCTTTAAGAGAAATCTTATTATAGCGATTTAGAAGCTAATCGTAGAGTACGTTAAATTTAATAGTTAATCGAATAACTTTAAACTTTATTTCGAGAATAATAATAGCTAAAGCCTTTTAGATACGTTTCTAAATAATAATATATAAATTAAATATAATTATAATTATAATAGATAGATAGAGAATAAATAATTTCAATTATTAAAAAATTTAATATTAAGATAGCCTTAGCGTTAAGATAGCTTATATTAAGTATAGCGTATTTTCATATAATTAAGGATTCTACTACTTTAGACTTTTCATAGATCGTTACTTCGTTTAATATAATATATTTTAAGAATAAATCGATAATAATAGCTATACTATTCTATTTTTATAGTTTAAAAGAATACTTCTAACGACTATAAGAAACGTATTATAATAGATATACGCGAGCTTAATAAGATAATAGAAATAAATTCTTATTTACTATCGCTATAGTTAGAAATTATAATATTACTATTAGAATATATATATCTATTAATTATAAACGTCGTAGATTAATTTTATTAATTTCTTATAGTATATAATAATCGCTATAAGTTTACGATAGTTAGTTATAGAGGATAAAAAGAATCTACTATCGTTTTAATAGAATATAAGAATTTCCCGCTATATATCTAAAGGTAAATAAATACTATATTATATCTATTTAAAATCTTTATTAAAATATTTATAAATAATATTATTATCTTCTTATATACGTTATAAGAGTATCTTAGCTATCTTCGTTAGATCTTCGAGCTCTTTCGCAGTAAGCGAGTAAGCCTATCGCCTACTAAATTATTTATTAACTATTTATTAATTACTCTATTAGACTAACGAGTTAATAATCTAGATATATCTATATCTTAAAAGAAGATTTATATAATTATTAATTTACGATTTTTAGAAATATTACGCGATCTTAAAATCTTTCTTAAATTTACGAGATAGCTTTATTTTTTAATTTTTTATTACGCGTAACTTACTAATCCGCTATAAGAATAAAAGATTATTCTTATTAAGAGCTTAGAAGCTAGTATTATAGATCTATTACGTAAATAATTTATTATTATATTATTCTATATCTCTATTAAAGTAGAAGTAAAAGTCTTTTATAAGCTTTAGTAAGTCTTTACTAACCTCTCTTTTCTAATATATTATAACTTTATAAAACCTTTATTTATAGATCTAAACGCCTTTAAAAGCTTCGAATTTACTACTATAATATATTATTATAAGTAGAATTAGATTTCTAAAAGCTTAAATAAGATAGCGCGTATAAACGTTTAATTAATTATATTCTTAAGTCGATACTTAAATACAGCTAAGTATAATTACTAGCCTATAAAGTTAGAAGTCGCTAACATAGTATAGATCGTAAAAAAGATTCGATATATAATTAAATCTAGCTTAAAGCCGCCTATAATAGTCTACACTAACTATTTAGCTACGATTCTTATTTCTAAGTAAATTATACTTAATATTATTAGTATTAATAAACTTAACTTTCGTCTAATTTATACGTTTTAATATCTTTCGATATTTAATCTTAAGCTTCGCTATAAAATAAATAAATCTAATATCGTACTTAACGTATTATCGCGTTTATTATAGACTTCTATCACATAATTTACGAAATCTAAGAGAGTACTCGATACGTTATATGAAAGTATAAAATGCTAGTTAGAGCTCTTAAGTATTACGCTTATCGAACTAGTAGTAATCTATTATACTACTTTAATTAAAATATTAAACGATTTTAAATAGCGATTAAAGTAAGAATATATTAAGAATTCTTATTAAGAAAGATTTTTTATAAATACTAAAGTCTTTAGTAGAGAATATTACTACTATTTTAATAGCTACGATATTATTAACTTATACTATCTAAGTAAAGTCTATAAAGCGTATTTTTAAAGTTTTATTTATATTAAGAAAAGGCTTTATTTATTATATTAACGGCGAGAATAAATAGCGTCTCGATATTCTATCTTCTATAGAGTAAGAGATATTCGAGTAAGCTTACGATCTATTTAACTATAGAGATTATCATAAATACTACGATCGATTATCTTATACGATTTTTATTAAACATCTATTTAAGCGCTTACGAACTTATATAGCATATTATTCTAAGTATTAACTTAATTAGATTAAGAGATATAAGTTATATAAATCTCTTATTTCGATTACTACTTTAGCTATTCCTTTTTATACTATAGCTATAGACTTTATTATTACTTTACCTCTTATTAAAGTAGAATATAACTATCTACTTATTATTACGTATAAGATTATTAAGAGAAATCTTCTAATATCGAGAAAGGAGACTTAATCTACTACTTAATAGGTCGAGGTAATACTTTATACGTTACTATAGTATAACTAGAGCGTATCAAGATACATTATTAGCGATCGCGACCTACGTTTTATATCTGCTTTCTGGAAGGAGATCTTTAGTAGACTACACGTTAAGTTTCTAACGTCTATAGCCTATTATTTATAGACGAATAATTAATCCAAGCGAACTAATTAAACGATGGAGATAGTATTACGTTTTTATCTTACTGCGAATTCTAACGATAAATAGAATAAAATCTTACTATACATTTAGGCTACTTTTAATAACTCTTCGAGTAACATTATAGACCTAGCATCTAACGAACTATACTACGGTTTTAAGATTAATAATGCTATAGATATATTACTTACGAATTTCTTAGTATCTACGAAAGCCTTTTATAAGCTTCGCCTAATCAAAAGAGAAGAAGCGAACGATGCTATAGTATTTTCATCTATTATTATAAAAGCAAGATACAATACGAAGTATTTAGCGCTAAATCTTAAGAAAGAGAATAACGTCTTTCTCAGACTATACCACGGATACTCGATTTTAAGTCTTTTAAATAGGAAACTCTTATAATAACGTATCGATCCCTTTAAGATTCTAGTAAAGATCGATTACTTGATATATTAATTAAAGCTATTATTAGTTATACGAATTTATCTAGTAATATTAATCGCCTAGCTAGAGCCAGCCACTACTATCATAGCCGAAGCTTTAGATTCATATAAGAGAAGAATTAATATAAAATTATCGTTCGTTTATAACGAAGAAGATAACTTCGAAGTTAAAATAATTATAAATAAATAAATTATACGTGAAAAGTCTAAGTACTTATTATATTAAAAGAATTAAGATTATAAATATAATATATAGTATATAATCGAGGATTTACTTAATATAATAAAGCTAGTAAATAACTACGAATATAAGCTAGTACTTATCTTATCTACTAGATAAAAGATAGATAAGAATACTAGAACTACGTAAGTATTATAGTCGTCTACGTAAATATTATAGCCTACGTAAGTACTATAGTCTATATTTAAAAGAGAAAGAGAAAGATTATATAAGACTTTACTAATTAAATAATAATCTATATTAAATCGTTTTTCGAATTAATAAAGAAAACTCTTAAAGTCTAAAGCGAAAGACTTTTACTATTTATTATACGTCTAATTTATATATTTACTATATTAATAAGCGTTTATTTCTACTATTATCTTAATAAGAATATTAACTTATTTTTTCTTCGTTAATATTTAATATAATATTATAAAAGCCTTTTATAAAAATCTCTAATAGAGTCGTTTCTACTAGATCTAAGAGGCTTAAAGAGCCTAGATTAAATATATATTAGCGTCTTCGAGTATTCTCTACTAAAGCAGATTTCTAGATAGTAAGAATATATCTTCTTTTCACATTATAACTTAGTTTATAATATCGAGATTATAAGCGAACTTAATAGCTATTTATTACTACTTATAAACGCGTTAAAAGATCTTTAAAAAGAGTTTAAACGAATACGTTCTTCTCTATATACTTCTCTTAAATTAGCGATAGATAAGTTAAACTAATATTTAAATATTATAATTATATTAAACGCGTTTAGAATTAAATAATAATTCTTTTATCTATTTATAT